TGAAGACTATATACGATGCCCAGGTTTAAAGAAAGCGAAATGGAAACGATTTTTATACTGTTACTGTTTGTACTATGGCGGTAGAACGAGCTTGGATCAAGTTGAAGTGGATAAGCTCAAATCATGAGAATCATTTATAAAATCTTTATTTTCGAGGTTGCCTCATAACATTACGTTGCAGCTTTACTTTTTTCCAAAAACAGTGTAGTGAATGGTTTTACGATCATGTAACAGTAGGGTTTAGGTATCTCCTCCAGCCAATCGCCATCGAAGTCTTCAGCGCGGATGGAAGGAATTACCTGCTGGCGTTCCCAAAGAAAATGAGAGACCGTGTATACGAAAAGTTAGTTTTGTAGAATTTCAAAAAATTAAATCTCTCCGATCCTTTTTTCAGACTGCTTTCAATGGCTAAGGGACTCACCTCTGGTGGCACTGATTCTGTTGGAGGACAAAAGGCAAATATGGCGATTGAGCAAAGTGGCAGAGCGTCATTGATAAACTCCATCATTGGCCAACAGTCTGTGACGCAACGTTGGTTGAATGGACAAATCACCAACTTCCAGTATTTGATGCATCTGAACACCCTGGCTGGGAGGTATAAATGATTAAGACTCATGTTGAAGTGGAATTTGAAATAATTTCAGATCCTACAACGACTTATCACAATATCCGGTCCTACCGTGGGTGCTTGCTGATTATACCTCGTCCACCCTGGACTTTACCAATCCGAAGACTTTCCGAGATTTGTCGAAGCCAATGGGAGCGCAACACCCACAAAGGCTAGAGCAGTTCCTGAAAAGGTGAGCAGTTTAATTTTCCTGGGATCAAACTCATCATGAGGCTTTCAGATATCGTGAATGGGATGATCCAACTGGTGAAACACCACCTTATATGTATGGAACACATTATTCATCAGCTATGATTGTGGTGTCATATCTGGTCCGGTTAGAACCATTTACTCAACAGTTCCTTAGTCTTCAGGTTGGTACAGGTCTCGATTATGCATATTTAAGTGGATAAAAATCAGAATTTTAGGGTGGTCACTTCGACTTAGCAGACCGAATGTTTCATAGTATAGGCGACGCATGGACTAGTGCTAGTAGGAATAATATGGCCGATGTAAAGGAGTTGATTCCGGAATTTTTCGTGCTCCCTGAGCTATTGCTGGTATGTCAATCAGGAGTTCTTAGCGTTGATTCTCCTCTCTTGTTTCTGAACTTTTGTACTTTGTTGTTTCTAATATCTTGCTGCCGTATTATGCTACATCGTGAGTAAAAATTTTCCAGAATAAAAATAGATTCGACCTTGGTGTCAAACAGAATGGGATCGCTCTAGATGATGTGGTACTTCCTCCGTGGGCACATGGAGACGCAAGAGAATTTGTCAGGTCTGTGTTTACTTTCTCTAGTACAGCTTTCCCCAGGCGTCAGAGTTTTCTGAAATTGACAAAGTTATCGTATCAGTGGAGTTTTGATGTTGTAAACTTTCTAGATTGCATCGACAAGCTCTTGAATGTGATTATGTGTCATCGCATCTCCACGAATGGATTGACCTTGTGTTTGGATACAAACAAAATGGAGAGGAGGCTGTTAAGGTGCTTTTTTGCTTCGCCCGCTTTCGCCTTGATTTTTGATTCTTGAAAATTGTTGCTTCAGGCCAACAATCTCTTCCATCATTTATTCTACGAAGGTAGTGTGGATTTTGAGTCGATTGTCGATCCACTTACCCGAAATGCGACTATTGGTGAGTTTACCTAGGGCTGACAGGAGAGGAGAGAGAGGTTTGTTATTGTTTCATTTTCTACATTCAGGTTTTGTGAACAACTTCGGTCAAATTCCAACGCAACTTTTCAAGAAGCCGCATCCACAGAAGAAAGTGAGTCTTTTTCCCTAATTATCGATGATGAGATTATTTGCTCTGTCTAGGTAAGTCCAGTAGATGGGTTTTCCAACACACCTGGAGTGACAACACAGCGGCTGTTCTACCATTGCCTCCACTCTTTGAAGCCACCTCAGAGTCCCATAAAAGGTGAATTCTTCTTATCATTGTCGCAACCAAGCGTCCAACCGTTACTGTTTTTAGAACTGCGATCTGCCGTGGGTTCAATATACCAGAGCGAACGAACTGGTCTTGTTGTGCTGGAGCAGAATAAAGTTCTGATAGGAACAAACAAATATGTCGCTTGGGGCTTCCCGGATCGGTCATTACGCATGGGACAAATAGATTCGGACAAGGTAATGATCTCTTTTTGCATTATCACTTGACTCATACCTTGTATCCTCAATGAGTGGCGAAACTTTTTCTTGTTTAATCTGATTGAGCTGGGTTTCAGTCCATATGCATCCATGAAATGTGTGATGCAGACGAATTGACATGTGTAGCTAGCGGCGATGAACGAACTCTATTCTGTGGAAGCAGCACTGGTTGTGTGAGGTTTGTTTGAATTTCATTATCATTAGCGAATGTCGACATCTTCGTTGAAAGCAATGTTTGGCAGAATTCGTTCTCCAGCTTTTCACATTTTCGGGGCAAAAATGCCTGAGGAACCCAAAAATGGCGAAAATGAGCCTTTTTTGAAGCTTTCCACGTCCATTCAGAGGGATTACGCCGGAGGTCTTCCCCGCCCCGCCCCTCGTTTCGGACTCCGCCCACACCTAATGGGACCTGGGAAGCTTTGAAAAAGGCTCATTTTCGCCATTTTATGCGCAGAAAAACTCAGGTATGGGTTTCTCATGAGAAAGAGGCCCTGAAAATGTGAAAAACTGGAAGACGAAATTTTGGTGGAACACTTAAGATGTTAGTTTTTAGCGTATGGACGCTATGCCGGAAGCCAATTTCTTTGAAGAGAAGAAAATTGTTAGATGGACATTCCGATGCTGTGACTTGCCTTGTAAGTTCTTTTGCTCGTAGGACTTAGCACATATCGAAAGTTCTTTCCCATTTTAGGTTGTCTGTTCTGCCCACGCATTTGTGGTATCCGCCAGTAGAGATTGTTCGGTCATATTATGGCACCAGTCTGAACTTTATCTGATTCGGCAGCTCCCATTACATCCTAGTCCTGTCTCAGCTGTTGCAGTGAATGATACGACGGTAATTCTATATACAATTGATTCATAGGTTCGCGTTTATCCAACGATTAGGGTGACATCGCAACGTCTTGCTCAACATTGCTACATCTGTGGTCGATTAATGGTGATCTATTGGCAGTGGTTAACACCTGCGACTCTAATCTTATCATGGATCCATCGCAGATGATTCTTAGCTTGACGTTTAGTACGGTAGGCTTTGTTTATCTCGCATTTTCCTCCAGGGGCGGTATTTATCAATCTCCTATATGGGATGGATTTCCCGTACAGGTCACAGCCCGTACAGGCGCGGGCA